CTTTGTATAATTTCTCTGCTCGAGTGCCCCTAAGCTAATTCAAGTGCAATTTGTTGTCATCTTGTTTTGAAATTTAGTAAGCGTGACACAGCAATTGTAGCTGCTCCAGATGGCACGGTACATCTATTGGATTTAAAATCAGGAGAAGATATCTGGGCATTTAGGTCAGGGGCACCCATCTATTCTTCATATCAGTCTCTCTCTGATTATCAAGGTGATGGTAACAATGCTACCATTGAGGATGATAACTTCTATATAGATTGTGGAGAAGATTGGAAATTATACATGCATGGGAATGGCCTCGAAAAAGTGGTACGTGACTGAACTTGTCCTCTACCATGCTTAGTCAGAAACTTTACGGAGTTTTGTGTTGAGGGAATGTATTTCTGAAGAATTTGTATTCCCTTATGGCACCAGTAGGTGTGTGATGCTTTTGAATCTTTTCACCAGAGCCTTTTTGCTTTTGTCCATCTATTAGTGTAAATATCATGATGAGAGTGATTCTTGTGAACTTGATGTTATTACTTCGAGACTGCTGCATGCTCACATTAAATGGTTTGACATAACAAAGTGTTAAAAGGTATTTTAAACCCTAAAATACTACATTCCTTAATGTGCTATTCTTTTTCATTATCTTAGGAGCTGCAATTTAGTGTGGAAGAATTTCTAAAACAAACTCCATATGTCTCAGCTGGTGGAATCATGTTGGGGTCAAAGAAGACTACTGTATTCATTGTTGATGCTAAAACCGGGAAACTTATCCAGACATATAGGTCAGATGTGTTCCCTTTAGAAGGTGATACAGATGTTGGACAAAATCCAATTGTACCAATGGAGGATGTTGAAGGATGGGCAGCAGCGCAAGATACAGACTCAGAAGCTGTTAATCCACTCTACATTATGAGAACCGATTATGCTCTAAAATATACTTCTTCGAAGACTGGAAAGGTTTTATGGTACTTAATGTTTGCTGATTTTGAGGCTTCACAGCAATGTAAACAAATTGGTAGTTTTCTTGGTGATTTTTCTGACCAAGAGGATCAGTTGAATTCCGGATATGGAGTTTGTTCTAGTAAGCCAGTTGTTCACCGAGTCAGGAATCTTAAATCATTAGAATCACTTTTTGCATCTGGTAGGCCACATAATGCTCTTTCCGGAGATGTGGAGCTTTCTATTTATATCAACCCTGCATTAAAACCAGTTTCTGAGTTAATGGGATTACCTCCAAACAAAAGAACTGATATAATCCTTTCTTCTCTTCCATCTATGACTAAAGAATTTGGGCTCATGGGTCTGCCTGGTGGAGATAAAGTCACAAAATCTGATGCTTTAGTACATTCATATAAGTGGAATTCCGTTGTACTAAATACATTTATTCTGCTCATTCCTGTTCTCTCCTCTTTGACTTATCTGTGGAAATGGTGGAAGTCGCACAAGCAGGCTACAGATCCCAAACTGCAAGCTGTAACCTCAAAAAAGAAGAAATCTCGAAAGTCAGGTTTCAGTAAGAGCAGTACACGTAATGAGAAGAATCAGAAAAATAGTCATAATGATGACACAGAAGCAAGTGGTTTTGTTGGTGTCATTGGAAAGAGTGAGAAAGTTTTGGAGCTGAATCTATGCAAGTATGATAGTCTTGTATATCATCGGAAGATTGGTAAGTTATTGGTTTCTAACACTGAAATAGCTAAGGGGAGCAATGGCACTATCGTACTCGAGGGAATCTATGATGGTCGTCCTGTAGCTGTTAAACGCCTCATCCAGACTCATCACGAAGTGGCTTTGAAAGAAATTCAAAATCTTATTGCATCTGACCAACACCCAAATATTGTTCGTTGGTATGGTGTGGAGTACGATCAAGATTTTGTTTACCTGGCTCTTGAGCGTTGCACTTGTAGCTTATATGAGTTTATATCATCAGTCACCTGCTCCTACCAAAAACAATTTTCTGGAGATGACCAGGATGCCGGTTGTTTAAGTGACTGCACTGTAAAAGTTCAATGGAAATCTGGAGACAAGGATGACTTCCCGTTATGGAAGCCCAGTGGATATCCTTCAGCTCACCTGTTAAAATTGATGAGGTTGGTTTATTGTTATTATCGGTTTCTGATTTACTTTTATTAATCTGAATTCGTTCATTGTGTGGAGACTCACTTCAATGTCAAGTGTTCATTCTCATTGATCAGTCAATAACAAGTGCATGATCTATGGCTTTCTCAGCAAGATGACTCTAAACTGATAGTCACTCTCGTTAAACTGGGTAATCGGTACAATTTTCATTTGACATAACCATGCCTGGGAAACAGCTTCTCTTGGATTGTCCGACTCTGGGGCATGTCTAACTGGACTTCTTGAATGTTTATCCAACTGTTAATTCATATTTTACACGGTTCACGTCAATTTTTTCTTGAAGAATTGATCGAACAATGTGACATAGGAAATGTTCATGGTGACTTGAATCTTTTATATTATTGGTGTTGGATACAGAAATAGGTAAGTATATATTGAAGCTGGTTATTCTATAGCTTTTACTTCAGAAATTAAAAAATCATGTAGGGGTCCCAATTCGAACTGGAATAGACCATTAAAGTTAACATTGAAATAGTTCTTGTATATATGTACAGAATTATTTTGATGATAAATCTTTACCCCCCCACCCCCCAAAAAAATAAAATTATGTTGACAATTGTTAAATCTTTATCATTTTGCTTAGTGAACTGAACTCCTAGTGGTAACTCATGCTTTTTTTCATCAAATTACGCTAGAAATGTGTTCTAAAAAAGTAATTATTTATAGTGGATGATGTCAGGGCAGTTTTATCCTAATGATCCTTGTCACACCTGGTGAATTGAAGATGGAATATTTGTTACTACATGTAACATTGTGATTTACAGACAATTCAATGACGACTCTCAGGCAAATGAATCACAGCCTTTGGAACATTTAAGCTGAGAATTCTCACATCTATATTGCTAAAGCATCTAATAGGCTGTCATGGGAATTTCAGTATTCCCATGAAGCCTTTGAAGTTCATCTCATCTTTTTGTTAGAGTACTATATTATTTTGATCTCACAAAATATAAAGGCAATTAGCCTCTGAATCATTTGTTGAATCACATTTTATTTATTTGTTTGCCCTTTTGAACGAATACATACTAATTTTTCACACACATTTCAGGATGTGGACATTAGATTTTTTATGTATTTTACGTGCCTTTCGTTTCACCATTATTTAGTTACAGCTCTTTCAGACGTATTTGAGAGGCATTCAGAATTAACAATTAAGCCCTTTTATGATTGGTAATGGCAGAGATATGGTTCATGGCCTTGCTCATTTGCATGAACTGGGAATTGTACACCGTGACTTGAAGCCTCAGAATATTCTTATAGTAAAAGAGAGATCTGTAAGTGCAAAGCTTTCAGATATGGGTATCAGCAAGCATCTTGCAGGGGACATGTCTTCATTAACCAAAAATTCCACTGGTAAGCCTTAGTTCAGAACTTGCATTTTTTTCTCTTGTGACAATTGACATTTTCAAGTGCATTACCCAGCCCCAATGCTACCTTATTTACTCTGAGTGGAGGGTGAGGGAGGCCTGCTTTTGTTGCTTTTTATTTTTCAATGTAATTAATACAAGTCCCATTCACTTCCTTTTTGTCCCAAATTTTTTGAAAAACTTCTATTCATTTCAATATGGAGTTGATAAATCTATATAGTGATTAGTGAAGCCATGCATTGGAGGCAGGCATTTCATTTGAAAATAGGGATATCTTGAAACTTTCTTCTGCATATCTATTTGCAACTATGTACGTGCATGAATGTCACTTATCCCGTGTTACAATATCTGTAGGCTCTGGGAGTTCAGGTTGGCAAGCACCTGAGCAACTTCGTCATGAACGGCAGACACGTGCTGTGGATTTATTCAGTTTAGGCTGTGTACTCTTTTTCTGCATAACCGGGGGAAAACATCCGTATGGGGATAGTTTTGAACGTGATGTAAATATAGTTAACGATCAAAAGGATTTATTCCTTATAGAGAATATTCCAGAGGCAACAGATCTCATCAGTGCACTCCTACATCCAAATCCAGAGCTAAGGTAATGACATCATGGTTTTGAAATTTTTGGTCCTCTACATAGTATTGGTTCTCTGATATTATAAATTTGTAAGTTTTGTGTCATTGATATTATATTTGTACTTCCACTGATGGGGGCGTATGCCTTTCTGTTATCCCTTAGGCCAAAAGCAGTAGAGGTATTGCATCATCCTTTCTTTTGGAATTCTGAGATGCGACTCTCATTCCTCCGAGACGCCAGTGATAGAGTGGAATTAGAGGATAGAGAAGATGGATCTGAACTTTTGGGAGCACTGGAAAGTGTTAAGACCGTGGCATTGGGTGGTCTGTGGAATGATAAAATGGATAGTGCATTTATCAATGACATTGGTCGCTACAGGCGTTACAAATACGATAGTGTCCGCGATTTGTTGCGTGTTATCAGAAATAAGTTAAACCATTACAGAGAGCTTTCAAAGGAAATACAGGGAATTCTTGGACAGGTTCCTGAAGGTTTTGAGAGCTATTTCTCCACCAGGTTTCCTAGACTTGTAATTGAGGTCTACAAAGTACTTCATACCTATTGTTTAGAGGAAGATATCTTTCAAAAATACTTCAAAGGCAATCAAAATTAGCTCAATACTATCTACATATTAAACCTATGTACATATTGTAATTTATAATTATAATAATTATGAATAAGTGGAAAGCTTCAAATTAAAATAAGCATCAGCTGCTACAACTCATAATAGCACTTATCTTCCTTCAATTCGCAGTTCACTGCAAGCTCCTAAAGAGGCTTCCATACTTGCACAAAAAAAAAAGAAGAGGTGCAATGGACAGCCTTTGATCAATGGCTAAATCTACCTAAAGGCTGCAATTCAGCAATGAACTTTACCTTAATTCATAGAAACACAAGGACAAAATCACCACCATCCACATGAATCCATAGAAAAAGTATCAGAGTTGAAGCTACTAAATGATATTGATTGTGTAAAAATTGTGCTAATATACAGTTAACAGCTGAATCTTATAAACAATTCTATGTTGTCAAAATTGAAACTTTGGTAAGAACCCTATAAGAAATGTAAGCTGGCATAATTGAACTAATGAATTTCATTTTGAGAAGGAACCTGTGTTTCTATCCACCTGGAATCCCTTCCCAAGTCATTTTCTATGTTGTCATCAGAAACTGATCTGTCGATTTTCCTTCGCTTGCTGCCTCTATTTGATTTCTCATCAATAATTGACAGCAAAGTTTGAAGACGTTTGGAACGTGAAGTAGTATTCTGACCATCCGAATCAACTGCAGCGTTGGAAGTCCGGCAAAATTTACGCAGAATCTGGATGAAATATATTAGGAGAGCAATAAAGCATGCAATCCCACATATAAGAAAGAGGCCTGAAAAGCTTCTCAAGTGAAGGCGATCTGATTCAAGCTCAGCATTGTCTAAACTGCATGCACTTCTTGCTAACCACTTGTCATGTATCCGCTGGAGGTCTCCATTCTCTGATAGTGTTAAAATTGCAGTTGACAAGTCGACTGCCAACGGAGAGTCCCGAGGAAATGCCTGAATCAGAATAACAAGCACAAAATGACAGAGAAAAACATCATGATTTCTGGATTCCGCGTCTCCAATAGATAAATAAAGAATCTATAAGCTTAATTGAAATGCAGAACCCCGACGTCAATGATTTTTACACAAATACTCGGCTTGAAATAGAAGTGTGCTTAGTGATATGCTACAAAATCCTACCAAGATGTCCAGGACATCAAGATTTTAGTCAACAAAATAAACCAAGGTGTACTTACAGAATTAGGATTAAGGAAATAGAAAAGGCAGGAGGGCACACAGAATGAGGAAAAAAGAAAAAAACTGTAGGAATAGAGAAACTTACAAAACCCCACCCACTTTTGGTGAACTCTTGACCTACAATCCTGAATTTGCACTGGTTTGACAGGAAAAGTTCAACGTATGGTCTTTCATCCACCACTGCAGCTACACCCCCGTTTGCAGGACCACGTTGAAGTGCTGTAGCATATTCTTCCGGTGACCCAAGGGGAACAAGTCTGGATTTTGGTATACCAATTTCCTCCAAATACCTTTCTGCAAAAGAACCAACTTGGTACCCAATTGGTTCATCAGTTTCTTTCAAGCTCTCAATACCTTTAATAGGAGAATATAATTGTTGCACAGTGAGGATGGAGGTCAAACTTGCTGTGTAACTTGAATTTATTATCAAAACGACAAAGAGCCATATGATCAGCACCATGCGACCAAGCGTACTTACAGTATTCTCTCCTACAGAGGAAATATCACAAAAGTTAAGAGAGTAAATATCAAATGAACCGCGAAACAATTATACTGAACTATAGTTCACTTACTGTGGGCAAAAAAGAGAGTTGAAAGGCTGAACCTGCAAGAAGAACAAACAATCGTCAGACAAGTAGTCTTCTATAATTGAGAAGTTGCTCTCATTGAAAAGAAGCAATCCTTCTATAACAGTGTGCACTTCTTGGGGTGATGGTTATAAATCTATTCAAATCAAGTTCAACTGATCAATGAATTGGACCACGCTCAGTGCACACAGAAAATGAAAGCCGTAAACCATAAGAATGCTTAAAGAACCTCCGGCTTTATATGTTCCCATTTTCTCAAAAAACAATTTACTAGAGATACACCATTATTGATAAACTATGAATTCCATAAATGTAGGAACTTTCAAACAAAGAACTATTCTATGAGCAACAACTGCATTCATAACTGATAAGGAGAACAGAGAACCATACCTATCATGGCTGTTTTCTGAACTCATATAATATTTAAGTACAAATACAAAGATACAATGACACATGCAAATTTTGAAATAATAACAATCCTATCATCAAGAACTAATATTTATGACCCCACAATCTATTTTTTCTTGTTTAGTGAAGAGGAGAAGAAAGAAACAACTAGCATTGTAGCAGGAATCTATGCCAAGTTCATCACAAGAACGCGTAAAGAATAGTGTACGGCATGTATTCACACATATATGGACCTATGTCACTAACATTAGCGTGTTTTTAGGCAAATCCTAGGCAAATACACATCCAACACCACCTCATGGGTTGGGCCTGCTCACAACCTTTTAATTAGCAGGTACCACAATGCACAGTAAATAACATGCAAGTATTGGGATTATGATGCATCTTTTGTCAACGGACTTTAGTCTCACCATTTGGTAACTTAATATGAGAATGCTGTCACTTTGGAATGATTTTTGTTATTTTGTAAAGCTAAACCATGTAAGATGGGGAAAACAACCTTTTGTTCACTTAGAACATTACATGTTTACACATTAATACATTACGAAAAATTTATTTTTTGAAGTAGCATTTCCGCTTTCTGCATGGGACTTCAATGCTACACCCTCCGCCACCACAAGGTTGACTTAACCAGAAAAAGGAAAGAGAAAGAACGATTGATCTCACCATAGAATGGTTATCAACTGCTGTTTGGGAGGCCCACGAAATTCATCATTGATTCGGTGCTCCAAAATCCACACTACCATCCCAACAAAGAGAAAGAAAATAGTGATAACTCCCCACATTTGAGCAGAAAAGGGTCTTAGGAAGGCCCAGCCACCGGAATTTAGCTTTTCGAATGGGGCCACAACAACAAGTCCAGATGCGGCATATGGCTGTGTGAAATCGACAACTCTAGTCCGATTCGTAACTATTGCAATATCACCAACAACACCATCAAATTTCTGGGAGCACACACACAAAAAAATTATTTAAAATATAGTTAAAATACTTTAATGTTAGCAATTATGAACATACATCCTCGCTGTCAGCATGAACTTACCCCGATTGTGATTAGCCTCACCATATCGGTGTAGCTTGGATTTTCATGCCCGTTTCCATAGGGGACAAATTTATGTGGAACAGCATATGGCAATAAGTTTACAGCAGCAGTGAATACATCAATGCAAAAACCTTTAAAATTGTTAGTGCCTGGAATTTGAGACACAAATTCCCGGTAACTAACTCGGATGGGAACCCCTATTTTCAGTTGCTTACCATTGTTTGGAAAAACCCATCCACGAGGTTTTTGAACATTGTTTCCAGGCCACACAACACTATAAAGTTTTTGGTTTGTACTTGAACGATTAGGTGGTCTCGAGTAATAGGTCTCGGGAGGCAAAATAGACAAACCAGAATAGTTAGACCAGTAACCAACACGTCGAAAACCTGTTCCAATTACATTTATGATATCATATGCTGGACGAATAAGAGATTTATCTGGACTAAACTTGAATGGCCCCGTCAAACCAACAAAATCACTCTCCAATAAGTTCTTCAGCAGAAGTGGCCCGCCATCAAAAATACTCATTGCTTCAAGGTGAAGATTACTTCCTTCAACTGTTTGCAACTTAGTATCATTAGAAAACGAAATGGTCCCTCCCTGATTAAAGAATGAATCTATGGCATGTGCAACTAGCCAAACCGTGTCATATGCATGAAGAGCATAGGAATTTAGCCCTAACAAACCACCTGTCAACTTGTTCCATCTGGAAGAAAATGCTCTTTTATTTTTAGACTCTGGAGTGTGTTGTCGCAAGACTAGAACTCCTTGCATGGTGTCCATAGTATCTTGTGGCAGGGGAGGAGAGGAATCTAATACAGTGGTGAGCCAATCTGTGGATATCCATACATAACCATCACCCATCATTCCAAGATAGTGTGCCACTGAAAGTACCATCAATCCTAATTTACGATATGCATGTAGAACAATGACTCTAGATTCCATCAGGGCAACCTTTACCATAACATCCATAACATCACCTCGCGTCACAGTAGCTCCAGGGGAAATCCCTACTTTATATGAGATACGGCAGCGCCTTGTTGCAAGTGCATCATCTAATGCAGAGACACCATTTCTCCCATAGTCGTCATCAATAAAAATCGCTATGACCTCCTTCCAAGCATAAAATTCAATGATCTCAGCTATTGCAGTCATCTGGTATAGATCACTTTGAGTTGTCCTAAGAAAATAAGGGAACTGAAGAGAGGAGAGTGTGGGATCAGTAGCAGCAAATGATAAGAAAGGAACTTGAAGTTCATTGGCAACATGGGATATGGTATGGGCAACTACAGAAGATTGTGGGCCTATTACTGCAACAACATCAGTCTCCATAAATTTCAAGGCTGCAAATAAAAGAAGTGTTAGTCTAGATATTCAAATGTACCCTTAAATGAGAGAATTGGAAACTTTTCTAGGCTATGTGAATCAAATTTTGAATGAATGCCACATATTCTAATAGCACAAACCATCAGCTATCTATATTAACTGAGAATGATGAACTACAATGAGTGTTGACATTAGCAATGACTTCCAAGCATCACTGGTTTCCTTAAAGGAGGAACTAACTATGTTTCCTCTTGTTATTTCCTGATTCTAAATTTTCCAGCATCTAAGGCAGTGTAATGGATATTAAAGGAAATGAACAGTGAACAAAGTACCTCCAACCATGCCAAGAAACCCACTGCAATTGGAATTTTGCAACTGCACAACAAGTTTGGTTCCTTGGAGGATGCTAGAGTTGGAATTAACATCTTTCACAGCCTCCTGAATTGCAATCTTGGCAGCTCTTCCAATTGTAGAGTCAAATGTAAATATAGCTCCAACACTCACAACAGCAGGCCTTGAAGTGCCATTCCTACTCAACCCGTCTGAACACACTCCAAAGCATACTATACAAGAGACAATAATCCAAACCACATTCATCCTAGATGAAGATGAATGACACAACAGGATCTTTATGTGCTTAATTAGCATTCATCCTACCACTTCCTTCTACAAGATATAATTCTCAAACAGTTAGGCTCATAGGAAAAGAGCATATCACGTCAAACCTTTAGAAAATTGACATCTAAAATATTTCAGGTTCATTCAGAAAGATCATATCACATCAATCACCAGATGATTTCTTCCGATCTGTCCTAGCCTTGGTAAATAGAATTACATGTACTTGTTGCAGTGGAACGTGGAAGGTAACCCATGAAACTAGTTGAGGCGTGCGGAAAAAAAAAATGGTTAGAAAATTGATATCTAAATATTTCAACTCTAATACTTTAACATATTATCAAAAAAATGCAATGAGAATTGTACAAACTACAAAATCCCCACATCAACTTTATATACTAAGACTAAATATGGATCAAACATACAAGCACTCACAAAATGAAGCAAGAGCTCATGCATGCGCATAACGCACAAAAAAAGGGGGAAAAGAAACAGTTGGCTTAAGCTGAAAAAAGGAATGAGATTTTATGCTAAAATTAAAGCTCGACATAAGTACTCAATAGAGAGAAAGCATTATTGTGAAGACTCAACTTTCCCAAATGAATTAAGCTTGAGAAAGAAGCAGAATAAAGCAGAGAAGGAGCAGAATAAAGCAGAAAAGGAGCCACATTCTTTTAGCCATAACACAACAACAACATACCCAAAGAAATCCCACAAGTGACATATGCGGAGAGGATAGAGTGCACGAGACTTTTCCCCTATCTCGTGGAGGTAGACATAACACAAGTACAGAAATAGATATCATAGTAACAAAAAAAAAGGGAAGCCACACAGGACCACATGATCACAAGGCAGCAACTTTACTGTTTGCCAAGGCTATAGGCTCATAGTAACAAGCAAAGGCAAAAATTTGGGTCTGACAGATTAAGAAAACCTTGAGACAAAGAAATACACTCTTGAAGGAAAAGAAAAAGAGCAGACAAAGTAAAAGAGAGAAGAACCAAGAATGACTAGATTATTAAAGTCAAGATTTTGAACAGACCCTTTTACCTCACAGCCAAAATCCCTTTTTTCCCTGGCTTGTATCTTCTTCTTGCTACTAGCAATGTTCATCAAACTACTAAATTACTCTTTTCTTGAGCAGTTTGGAATGAGCCCTTTCATTCCTTAGCTGAAAAACCTTAAAAGGTTGCAATCTTGGTTCAGTAAAACTAATGAAGTTCAGAACTTTGACAAATCCAGTGACAGTTGATGACCAATTAAGGCAAGTATATAGAGAAATGCCCCAAATAATTCTTTAATTCAAAAGCAAATAAGAAAGTAAAGGTATTGGTTTTGAAAAAATGGAAAGTTTGAAACTTGGGAAACCAATAAAGAAAGAATTGATATGATAGCTAGAGAGGGCTGAAAACACTGATGGATTAGGGGGAGACAACAAACAAGGAAGACTCCTACAAGCACGTGAAAAAGTTTGTAACTGTTATTTTTTTAATTTTATTTTAACAAAAACAAATCCTAATACTTCAAACTCGAATTCAACCATCCATTACAACTCATTGTTCTAACCTGAGAACAGGAAAAAAAGAAAGTTGTTCCTAACTTAAATTAAGTTCAACAAAAAAGGGAACTTTTTTTCACGTTCATTTGGCTTGTACACCACCAATCAGAGAAAGAATAATAGAGTTTGTGATTTGGCCAACGCAACGAATAAAGTGTCTTTTGGAATAATTTGAAGTTTTTTTCATTTTTCGTTTTCATAAAATTCTAAAATTTACAACTTAAAAATTTGAGCAATGGAAATCATAAATTTTTTGAATTTAAACTTAACCATTTATTTGAAAATTTTAAAATATGTAATTAAATAATTATTTAAAGATAAAATTTCAAAAACCTAATCTATCTTGTGGGGCTACAATTATTTGAGTTACATCAAACATTCTACAACTTGCCTAAAAAAAGTACTCAATTCAATAATTGCTAATTGTATTTGTTAGCATTTAGGAAGGAGCTCTGGCATTTGGAAAGGAGTTGTGATCACGTTTTTCTTCAAAATATGAGAGCTATAATTGAAGTTCAAAAAATTTAGTTATATATATATATATAAAATAATTTATTTAATAAGCATAAAAGTTAAATATAATCTAAAAGGATTCAATTATAATTCTTGCTCTGTTATGGAAAAAAAAAAAAAACTCTCACCATAATAGATTTATTCTCTCTTTTCTAGTCTTAAAAAATAAAAAATAAATAAGAGATGAATCGCTTTTCAAAAATTTACGCCGTATAAATAAATAAAAAATAAATATTTTTAATTTATCGCCATCATATATGAAACTTGTTTCATTATCAATAAAGAAAACAGAAAAGTTATTGCTTCTAGTAGAACATTAAATAATTAATTAATTTCTAGAATAATTTATGAAACATATAGTGCAAAACATGCATAATATATTCAATTGTCAAAATTAGGTTGTTTCTTTTTTATAGATCTACATCAGCATTTGCAATTGTTATTTACTTGTTTTGTTTGACTTGTTTTTTCCTTTTGTTTTTGTTTTCTTCGTTCTTGTTCCCTTTTTTTTTTTCTTTGCATCTAATAATGAATATATTATATTAATTAAATGCGATTGGTTAACAACTATTGATGGCAAACTATTACAATTATAGTCACTCAATAAATGTGTTCGTAGAGAATAAAGATTACAAACTTTATATGTATCAAGATAAGAATTTCGTATGAGAAATTGAAAAGAAGACTTTTTATTTTGTTTGAGGTAGATTAGTGAGTATTCGTTCAAATAAGGCTAAAGAGTGTTAACCAACTCGATAGAGACATCAAGTTTACGAGCTTGAGAAATATAGAATATATTGAAAAAAATAGAATCAATAGATAATTTCATGTCAAAGAAACATACTTTCAATCTTAAATAAATTGAAATTTTTCATTCCACTTTTATATTTTGCAAAAAAAAAGCGTAAAAATCAAAATATGATTTAATTTATATCTATTATGTCAATAAAAATAGATTCTAGACTAATATCATTTCTAAATTTCTCACTAATTTCTAATCACTTAAAATATGGTATCTCATTTAATTATTTCAATCAAGACTATTTGTATTAATAATAAAAATATATGTATTTTAAGTAATTAGTTTAACTTTATACTTCACAATTATTAGTGATTAAGCGATAGAACTTGCTATGCATTTACATGTGACATTCATTATCTTCTCTTTTTCTTTTCACATTCACTATTCATTTCATAATAATGATTTTGCATTATTTAATTTTAATTTATATCATATAATTGAACCATCGATTAAGTTTTTTTATATACTTTAAAAGTTAAAAATTTGAATCTCAAAATTTTAATATATTGCTAATTTAGTATTGACTAGTGAATGACGTAAAATATGATGTTCTTTGGTCTGAAGGAAAAGCCGTTTCTTTAATAAAAAATGATTGTCCAGGAAGTGCCGGTTACCAACCGCAAATGTTGTGCCTTTATTTTCTCAGTTGGATTTAGGGTCTCCATTTTTAGTAATTTCCATTCTTGGTTTCACCCCCTTTACTTCCCAAAAAAGGCTAATCATCTGTGACTTCCACCAAAATTTCATCTTTTGGTGTCCGCTTCAAATCATTCTGGTAATATAGATTCAACTTTTGATTATGAACTGAAGTTTGTTCATAAAGATCTATGTGCTAATTAGACTTATGGGTTACTGTTTTTGTTTGTTTTACTTAAGTTCCTACGGTTATTTTGCTTTGTGGGGTTGGTGAAATTTACTGAAATTATTGATCTTGCTTGGTTGTGGTGATTCTATGACAGAAAGGGGTTTCATTTCTGTTTATTTTGATTCTTGAATTGTTGCAATTTTAGAGCTTAGGGAGTTCACAAAGGTAGTCGAGGATATATCGGAAACAGCCTATATACCTTGTAGGATAAGATCTGTGTACACACTATCCTTACACCCCACTTGTGGGACTATTATGTTGTTGTTGGAGTCTAAAAGGATCTTTTTGGGTAGGGAAAGGGAAATTGGGGAGGGGATACTAGGTGGGGATCGATTAAAATGAACTGAGCTAGTAAAATTTCTTGTTTACAAGGGTCTTGAATTTGTTATCGAACCAAAGATTGAAGCTTTTTGTTTTTGTAGGACTGCTAAAGGCTTAACCTTGACAATTATTGTACTGCAAATTGTTCTCTCTCTCTTTTTGCCCTTTTACAAGTGATTGATTATCTTTTTTTGCATTTTTGGGGTCAAGCTTTCCGTGGATAAGAATCTCTGAGGCTATTGAATTTATGCTCTGGGAATGCATATGGCTGCATATACAGATTTTTCACCACCATTTGCTATAGTAGAAGGGAGTTACAGTAAGGAGAATACATCTGCTGTTAAAGATGAATTACTTGAGGAATCAAATGAAATAAAGACAACAAGTGATAAGCCACTACGAGATCCTTCTGTTGTACAGTATTCAGTGAACTCTACTGCACTTGTAGGAGACGCTGATTTAGTAAGTGGAAAGTGTTAAAGTTTGGTAGTGATCTTATCTCAGCATCTCGTTGCGTGTTTATATCCCTTATTGTGCTTGATAGTACTTTCTCCGTTCATTTTGTTTGTCTAGTTTTTACTTGGAAGTTCGCTCGGAATTTAAGGAAGTAAAGAAATTTTGAATTGTATAGTCTTAAACTAAAAGATGTATATAATGTGCCAGTATCCTTTAAGCTTGTTGTCTTAAACATGCATGCTATGTGGAAAGTTGAAATTTAAGAGTTGCTAAAAAAGGAAAGAGGCGTTCTTTTTTAAATGGATTAAAAGGGAATTAAGACAGACATATTGAAACTGAGGGAGTTCAGTTTTAGTGGGAATTGAGTTAGTGGTTAGATTTATGGAAGTCAAAGACAGTTCAATTAGATTCTTTGTTGTGCTTGATACTAACATTTAGAAAACAGTTTAGTTTTTAGCAGAAAAAACAATCTATGCGCAAGTAATTGCAGCTTTCGATTGGTGGTAGTAAACTAAATATGCATAAGTGATGAGGAAACGACAGATAGAATGTAGAATAAGAATACATGTATTAGTCTACGTGGATAAGCATATCTAAAGACAACTCGTTGCATTACATTCTACATGTCATTATTCATTGCATAACATTTCCTACAGTTTATTATTCATCGCAAAAATAGCCCATGCATTATAATCTTTACGTAACTAGTGAGAGAATCAAATGACTCCTAAGATCTAGATTGCATGAGTAAAGCAATTTATTAGTTGATCTGATTCTGCCTAAGAACGCAACATTTATGTTCCCCATGCCTTCCGGGTTTTTTTTCCTTCTTTTTTGGGTGGGGGTATTTTATTAAAGATCGAAGCTATAAAAGTTGTAGCAGTTAATCTCTTTATCTGCTAATAACTACATTAATTACTCCCCTTGAATTTTCTTCCTTTTCCATCCTTTTGATTTTTCAAACTTGTTTGTACCTTATTAAGGTCATGCAGCTAATATTATTTTTCTTACATCTACTAGGATTTTGAAATAACTGAGAAGGGTTTCCAACACCCTTCTGAGGGACAATCAAACTTTGAACCAATATTTCGTTCTGGAAGTTGTGCTGAGAAAGGACCCAAACAGTACATGGAGGATGAACATATCTGTATAGATGATCTAATCATACATGTTAATGAAATTGCAGGTTCCACTTCCCCTGCAGCATTTTATGGGGTTTGTAGCTTTTGCACTTCATTTGATTATGCATTTTTGCATTGTAGATAGAAATACCCATATAATGTGCTATGTGTAGTGATGTTTCACCCTAAATGAATTACTCTTTTGTGTTGGTTATGTTCCTCTCATTGAATAGCATGTGAAGCAATTCATTTCAGATTCCCCTCACTGAATCAATCAAAATCTGACAACGGGGAGTTCAAGGGGGCCTGTTGGCCTTTATTGTCTATAGTTAGTAAGATAATAAGTGAGAAACAAACTTCGTAAAATGGAAAAATGAATGGCGAAGGATAGATAGAGGTCTTAAGTGTACAAAACGAGATAGACAAGAATCAGGAACTGGTTTGGGCTTTTTGAGCGCTCAGCAGTATCAACTATCAAGTGAATGATGACGTAGAAGGAAATGCTGTATGGATTGCTCCTTAGAAGGCTTCATGGGATCTATGATGTTCTTCAAGTGTGCAACATGTCCTCCGTCCAAACTCGTTTTAAATTTTCCTAGTCCGTAAAAGCATCAAACCAACTCTGCAAGCTTTTCTGGGATATACTCCTAACATATTTAAATTACCAAAAGATTTATTCTTTTCGAAATGCAGTAGGCTTTTTGGATGCATATGCCTAGGGAAAAGTCAAACTATGAAGACCTATCTGCTCTTGACACTTTGCTGAAGTACCACTGAAGCCGAGGATTCCTGAAAAAAAAAAAGAAAATCGATAATGAATTCTAAAAGTGGCCTAGTTCAATTTAAGAAAGATAACGGCAACTCAAATTTTAGTGTGCATACAGGTGGTAATTTATTTAGGCTTCATGCAAAATTGTAATATTTGGGTAAATTTACTTTCTTTATGTTTGCTTATGCCAAATAACTCAGGAGTTAGAGTTGAGGTGTAGCTGATTGATTGGTTGCTTTGCTGCGTATCTCATGGATTGTTCCATAAATGATATGCACCTAGTTTTCTTTTTGTTTCTCGATTAAGTCGTGTCATCTGGTCCTTGCACCGTTACTTGTACCTCCATCATTGGTATGATTTAGTAATAACGCTGTTACTAATTCCTTACAGGTCTTTGATGGCCATGGGGGTACTGATGCAGCATTATTTGTGAGGAATAATATTCTCAAGTTCATAATGGAGGACCCCTGTTTTCCCATGTGTTTAGAGAAGGCACTCAAGAATGCTTTTCTGAAAGCTGACTATGCTTTTGCCGACGATAGTTCTATTGACATATACTCTGGCACCACAGCATTGACAGCTCTAATGTTTGGAAGGTAACTAGATCTTCTGTTTCTTGTTTTCATATTTCTTGTCTAAATTATTTCTTAGAACAATGCAATATACTTGCTGAAGGGAAAAATAAGAACATTGGTTTTGTCTTTTATGTTTACTAAAAGCATGAAGGCAAATACACATATTTAGTTCCATTCATCTGGGCTATTTCTCCATGTGAAGCTCAATACGTATAACTGCTCTGGTTTCCATTTCATGTTGAAAGTGCAGATGCGATCATGCCGACATTTTGAACTATTACTCCCTCCTTTTCAATTTCTTTATGGTTTTGACTTTGACACAGAATTTGAGAAAGTCAACAAGACTTTTGAAACTTGTGGTCTTAAACTAAAGAATGTAGAATGTACCAAAATGGAAGGGACATTCCTTTTGAAACGGATTAAAAAGGGAAGTACGACAAATAAATTGAAACGGAAGGAGTAGAATAAGCTGAATTTGTTTTCATGAAATATTTTCTGAATGCATAGTCTGTTGTCTTCTGCTCCATGATCCACATTAACTGCTGTTGACAACATTCCTTATGTTTCTGATCGTTATGAGTATTTTATTCAAACAGGATTTGGTGCTGAATAGTCTGTAGTGTGATATGATTTGTTTTGCAGAAACATGATCGTTGCTAATGCAGGAGATTGTCGTGCTGTGCTAGGGAAACGAGGTAAAGCCATTGAGTTGTCTAAGGACCACAAACCAAATAGCGCATCTGAAAGACATCGAATAGAAAAACTTGGAGGAGTCATATATGACGGATACTTAAACGGACAGTTATCTATAGCACGTGCCTTGGGGGATTGGCACATGAAAGGCCCAAAAGGTTCTGCCTACCCCTTGAGTGCAGAGCCGGAGTTGCAGGAAACATTGTTGACCGAGGATGATGAGTTCCTAATCATGGGTTGCGATGGTCTATGGGATGTTATGAGCAGCCAATGTGCTGTTACGATGGCCCGGAAAGAACTCATGCTACATAATGACCCAGAAAGATGTTCAAGAGAACTGGTAAGGGAAGCCCTCAAGCGCAACACATGTGATAACTTAACAGTCATTGTAATTTGTTTTTCTCCTGATCCTCCACCTAGGATTGAAATTCCTCCTACTCGAATATGTAGAAGCATATCAGTTGAAGGACTGAATCTTCTAAAAAGTGTATTGGAAAGCAACTCATAACAAGATTCTGGGAAATGACATAGCCTACCAGTATAACTCCTCACTATGGGGACTCACGTCGCTTCCTCATTCCAACGTTTCACTCGCTTAGCTTATCGTAGTTTTTGAAAGCCTGTATATTGGAAGTGTGTTGTATCGATATAAGATTAGTGTGCGCGCTCCAGCTGCATTTCTTGTGATGTACAGATTCAAGAAAGCAACTCGTTTATTGTCCTTGTACTGCTTGTATGTTGGATTAGTACTGCATTTTGTAAATTTGAATTTGTTGGATATGTGATTAGTTAATGCTAAACTTAAACTATGTCATCTAGCAGGAAGATCAGAAATTAACTTGCTATTAAGAAAACCATTTGATCGATCACAAGGGGTGTTTGACTAAATTGTGCTTCTGTCTTTCCTTAAATGAGTAATTGATGACTATAAGATCAATACTATAATACATGCGACAAGGAGGAGCAAGTTTCATTTCCATCATTGATGAACTAAGAGACTATTTTGTTATTGGATTTTCAACAAAGATACTTTTAAATAGATTTCTTTATACAAATAGCTGATAAAAATAAATTTCGAGAATATGATTGGATTTATGAAGCTTGGTAGGACATTTAAAATAATAGTGTGAAATGTTAAAGTGGAATAATTAGTCTGTAAGTATTATGTTGTACCCTCTTTTATTTGCTCAACTTTCATAATGGCTATGTCCAACAGTTTTCCGATTCGAAATTCAGCTAAAACAGAAAGTAGATTAATACAAGAAGAAGACGCAAAAGAGAGTAAATATTGTTCATCGATAAAATTAGTTGATCTTGAGTACAACATGGGATGACTGATACATGGTCCAATAAAAAAGAGGGAAGGACATACAAATGTATGTTGTATTAAGTTAAAAATATCAGAAGAAATATGAGGACGTAACAAACTGTTTATACTTCTATGGAAATCATCTGAATTTCTGGTTAACGAATAGGGGACAATCTTCTTTCTTTACCTCATCAACCAGCCACGGAAACAAAATGATTTATCAGGTCAAAGTTCATCATCTACTGCCTTATTGGAGCTGCTGCACAAATGTACACACTCATTGTTGATCTCTATAAATAAATGTGAAAATGCGTCTATCACATAACTCCATAAAGAAACTAGTTACCTTGTCCCCTTGCAATAGTTGCTGAGATCTTCACATAATACCTTGGTCACATCTCCAACTTGGACAGATCCTTTCTTTATCAACTCTGCCAACTGTTATTTACAGGACAGCATTAGTGTACAGGTAGCTTTCAACCACGCGGAAGCATCATTGTTGTAAGAAAATCATCTTACCTCATCTTCAGTTTGCTCGAGTAACCTGCCGGCATATAAACACATTGTTAAAGTGTATTATATTTAGAGTAGAATCAGAACTGAAATGGAAATTTCACTGTAGCTAAGAGGAGTAAGTGGTTCCTCTTTACCTTCCACAAAAGGATGACAACGCTTTTGAATGTGCTCGAGCTTCTTGCTTATCTATCAAGGAATTAAAAAAAAAAAAGCAAAACATTAACATTGAAGATCTCTGTAAATTCTAATACATAAAAATCAGGGATGATTTACAGAGGAAATTGACAACTTATTCCTGTTCTCAGAGCACTCATAAATGAGAATTCAGTTATTGGTTCGGGCAATAAAAAATTGTTAGGTTTAGCCTAAAACAGTAGAATCATGTTTCCCAGTTTCCAAGCTGTTACAACATGCCCCCAAGCTACCTATGTGTAAATGAATGAAAAGAATTTACAAAGAGAAGATCTTTGACTTGCGAACTAAGAACATGCTAGATCATCCCCGCAACACAAATGACAAGGTATTATGTTATTCACATGAATTTACATCATGTATGATGCGTAATTTGGAAGCTAGAACTATAATGAGCCTGGATTCTGGCTGAGATATGTGCTTCAAGAATGACTGTGAGATGAAAAATCTCATGTCCCCCAAATACTCAAGTCCATCAACAACTAACATCATGCCCAACTCGTCCAGAGAGATGAACCAGTATATATAGAGAGGGAATATGGTGCTCATAGACATTCAACTCTACAAGATACGATATCCAAAAGTTAATTTGGCAGGAAGATAGCGGATGAAGGCATTGCGGGTAGACAGAAAACTAGGTACAGGACCTTCTAAGGAATTTATATTTCAACTCTCAATATTAGCAACAGTAGCAGTCCAGTTATAAAAATGAAAGTGTACCAAGAAGGGGAAGAAATGAAGTCATGAGACATACTAGTCTTGAGAAGGTCCCAATTGCTTACTTTGATCCAAGTGTTGGTGCTTGAATCCACCTAGCAGGCAAAAGGGAAAATCATCAGCATTAAAGAAACATTTCACTCAACTAATTGTGAGCATCAAGTGTACAAAGCTTTTACTTGTTTCAAAGTTTAGGTTTGATTCAATTGTGTCAATTACAGTTCCTGTTCTTTTGTTTGAAAAATAACATATAGCAATGAGAAATTAGAAAGACATCAAGGAAACGCTACCTTCTCCAGTGTATAATCTTGCATCTTTTCACAAAGGTCATCTAAAAGTTCAACGACTCGTAACTCGCTGCCTCTGCTTAAAGAAATAAATCAAAGAAGTTACTAAAATAACATAAGTATATATTATCTGCATGTCAACTCAACAACAGGGAAAAAGATTGTGCAACTACAAGTCAAGGAATTCCCAGCACTCTATTAAGTGGTTACTCTTAGCAGCTCAACGAATCTGGTCATCGGGGAAAGGGGGAATTAAAATAGAGACAATAAGGGAAGGCAAAGGTAAAAAGAAGAGGAAAGAAACCAGTGACATCTAAGAACAGTGAGAGGCCAACATGAAGCGAAAGGGATTATCAGACCCTTAAAATTGGATCAGTGTAAAGAGAGGAAGAATATGCATGAGTGAGAACTTCTTTTTACTATAATTAAAAAGAAAAAACTTGACTGTAGTTCTAAGGGCAAAGTTGGTAATGCACCAAATTATCTAGACAACCTAATCATCTTCTGGAACTCATAATATGAACAACTTATTGTGAACATCAAATAATTATGTTGAGAATTGAGACTACTCTTCTCTTGCATATATTCTCTTAGAAACCAAGCTGATGTTTTCCTTTTGTTCAAATAACAAACATCTAACGATGGCTTGATTCAGATAATATTTTTCGTACAACTAGTTTTTCTAAATGAATGGGAACAAAAGTTTTTTTAAGAATGGAGAAATGGAAAGAAAAGTATTAACTTTATGCAGTACTTTTCCTAGAAAATGACATACACAATACCCTTAGGAAGAGTGGATGTGGTATGAGCGAACAACACAGCAGATAGATCAATGAGCTCTTCAACCTGAAAGTTGATGGGATATAGAGAAATATTTTTGAACTGTGACCTAGGTTAGTTCTTATATACAACTGGGTAACAGATTTTGAAGTTGTAAGAAAAAGTAAAAGAATAAAGCAATTAGGAATTGATTTTAGCAAAGACCTTATTAATCAATAAGGTGATCATTAATATTTGACCTGTAATCAATAAGTTTCCCTTCACGCTGACCTTTAGAATCCAGGCGATGTCTCATGTCTAAATGGTTTCTTGGCTTTTCCTATAAAATATACATATATTAGCCCAGTGAGAATGTCAAAGAATAGACATAAAACTATACTACTTTAAATAAGTGAAAGACAACTTGAACAGACATCTTTTATTTCTAATGTATAATATGTTATCCTAGTAATCAACAATTTTAGCAGTTCGATTTTTAAAAATTCTATAAAACTATTGATAGCACTATTAACTATGTCCTCTTTCTCAAGGAGTTAGCCATGTAGGTAACCCTGCATTTGAATCTTCCGTCCTTTTTAGAAGATTGCTTATAGTAAATTGCAGTTTCAGAGACCCAACAATATGATAGGTCATAGTAGCCATGAAATATGGATATCAGAGAATGAGACATTGTATTAACAACTTCTCGTCTCAAATGTGAATCAAGTTTGGTATTGGCACAACTTTAAGCAGTCTTACATCACCATGTATAAATCAAAGGCTTATACATAAACATAAGCTAGTGAGACACAAGAATGGAGTAGTTCAACCATTTCAGAATGGAGAGTTAACACATCATTTGTCTTCCAAAAACATCATATCTTGAACAGCACAACTTCAAACATTTCCATCTCCTTGTTAGAAGTAAATGTAATTCTCAATTCAGCTTTTTGATATCCAATTTTAAAATCATACTAGATGATACTAAATATCTCCATTTTAAACATAGAGTCAAATGGCATCATGGCATGTAGCTAGAATAATTTGTTTTTCTTCCTTTTTATTTTTCTGATACATTGAGCTGTGAAAACTTCTACAAGGTAAATACACAACAAAAGAGAGAAACATCAACGAAGCTACATGATTTTCTTACTTTCAATAGTCCATGCTCGAGCTCCTCCTGAGAAGCATGAAAACAAACTAGTCAGGTCCATATCAGGCACAACAAGTGAAATCAATTGTTTATCTAGTATTCATAGCGCTCATACAACTACAAATCAACTACTTCTCAATCTCAAAATAATCGAAGTCCACTAAATAAATTCCCTGTATCCAATAATTTGTCTTCAATCGGTTTCAAAGTCCTCTAAACTAGATCGTTGCGAATGAAATAAGTTACAGTAAACATATACACATTGGCGTAAAATGAGTAAAAGCGAGTGTAAGTACTTACAGCAATGGCGGAACAAGCAGAACATTTATCTTCGATGCAAAGCGTAGCTGGCAAAACCGATAAGAAAGCAATAACAACAATCAAAACAATAGATCTCGTATACAGCTTAATCGCCATTTGCCCGATTTCTCCGTCTCCCTGCGAGCTTCTGCCGGTACCGGAATCGCAGAAGCTATGTAGAAGTATTTGAATGAGAACGGTGGTCCACGTCATCGGCGGGCATTGGTGTCATTATCGAATCAGAATGAGGCACGTGTTTTTTCTATTTGATTAGCCACGTCAGATTAAACGTAATGTCTAATAAATATATAATTTACAAAAAAACATTATGGACTTTTTTTTTAAAAGAAAAAATCGATCATATAAAAATTTATAAAACAATATTATCGATCATTTAAATCAAAATAATTTATGAATATATATTATTATTATTATTATTCATTAAATCTACTGCCACGCATTTTGGATCGTAAGTAAGCTACTAGTAATCTTTGTTGGTTAAGTGTCCTAATCACTTGTCACCTACACAATTGACAAACATAAACCCAAACTCATAAACAAACAATATTAGATTGG